CTGGTCATAGTGGGCAGGAAAGGGATCCTGAGCATGGAAATAACATTCTCCCTGAAGGCAGTACTCTTTCAACTGTGGCTTACAAATGATACATTCCACACTTGTTTATCAATGGAAATAATGTAAAAGTCCCTTTCTAAATGCCCACTGAATTAATAACCATCCAAGTGCTCATGGCAAGTCATTCCCATTGCCCCAGCCTTCAGCCGAAGTTCTCTTAACGACAAGTTCTCATCACCCTGGCCCTCAGCCAAATTTTCCCAGGACAGTGATGGTCACGTCATCCAAATCATCTGGGTTCATGTAATAATAATAAAATCAATAATATCATCATAATAATAATAGTAATAAAATATTGGCAAGAAGAGGAATAACAACAATGACAATGACAACAGCATAATAGTAATACTAACAGTAATAAGAGGAAAAATAATAGTATTCATAATCATTTTAATAAAATCAATAACAAAAATATTAATAATAAATATACCAACAATGACAAACAATAACATTAACAACCATAATAGTAACAATGTCAGTATCAACAGTAACAATAACAACAATGACAATGAAGACAAATAATGACATCAATAATAATAATGATAATTAGAAATAATTCTCATCATAGCTATAATAAAAAAAAAATAATAATAATAATGATGATAATAATATCCCAAATAATAAAAATAAAAATAACAACAACAAAAATTAATAACAATAAAATAAAAATAAAATAATAATGATAACACTAAAAATTAAAATAACAATAACAATAATAACTACAATGATAAAGATAATGATACTAATATTACTACTCCTGCTACTACTAACAATACAATAATAATATCAATAATACTGTTAATAGCAGCAATAAAAACAATATTGATAAATTCAAGACTAAAAGAAAAATAATATAATATTTAAATAGAACAAATAAGAAAAAGAAATATGCACAAAAATGCTTTCAAAATTATTATAACATCCATAACAATAACTGAAAATAATGATAATAAACATGATAATCATGATGATGATAATAATAATGGGGAAAAAAAAGCAAGAACATTAAAAATAACAATAATAATAACTGAGCTGCATATATATATATATATATATATATATATATATATATATATATATATATATATATATATATATATATATAGGGAGGGAGGGAGGGAGAGAGAGAGAGAGAGAGAGAGAGAGAGAGAGAGAGAGAGAGAGAGAGAGAGAGAGAGAGAGAGAGAGAGAGAGAGAGAGAGAGAGAGAGAGAGAGAGAGAGAGAGAGAGAGAGAGAGAGATAATATAAAGAATCAATAATATAACTGCAACCAACAATAAAAATAGTGGAAACATCAATTTTACTAATAATAAAAATAATAAGAAATAATAGCAAAAATAATAATGATAAAAATAATAACATTAATAATAATAACAATAATGATAATAACAACAATAAAGATAATAATAATAATAATAATAATAATAATAAAAAACAAAACAATAATAATAATAATAATAAATAATTAATAATAATAATAATAATAAACATTAATAACAATAACAATAATAATAACAATAACAATGACAATGACAATGACAATGACAATAATGATGATAATGATAATGATAATGATAATGATAATAATAATAATAATAATAATAAAATAATAATAATAATAAAAATAACTACGATACCAATAAAAATAACCATGATAATAATATCAATAATGATGATAATAATATCAATAATGATAATAATAATAAAAATAATCATATTGATGAGAACAATAAAAACAATATCAATAAATAAAACCATGAATTAAAAAGGAAATAATAATATTTTTTTTTTACGATAAACAAACAAATGAATAAAACAAATTGGCAAAAAACGTTTTTTTTTTTTTTTTTTAGATTATTATAAAATCGAAAACAAAAACAACGATGACAAAGATGAAAACAATAATATCTATGATAATAATGATGACAGAATAATATCAAATTCATAATAATAACAACAAGAACAACAATAATAACAGCAATAACAATATATATCAATATTAATAGGAAACCTATTAAGAATACTAACAAGAATAAAAATAATAGCAACAGCAGTTTTACTAAACTACTACCAATAATAATAATATCAATATTAATAAAAATCATAACAAAATTAATAATAACAAAAACAATCATTATAATTACAATATCAATGATAATCATAATTATAATAAAAATATTACTACTACTACTACTCCTACTACTACTAATAATAATAATAACAATATTAATAAAAATAATAATGATATAACAACAATGATGATAGAAATAATGATCGTAATAATATCAACAACAAGAACAAAAACAACAATTATAACAATAATCATAATCATAATTATCATCATAATACTAATATTAGCAGCAGCAGAAGTAGTAGTAGGAGTAGGAGTAGGAGTAGGAGTAGGAGTAGGAGTAGGAGTAGGAGTAGGAGTAGGAGTAGGAGTAGGAGTAGGAGTGGTAGTGGTAGTGGTAGCAGTAGCAGTAGAAGTAGTAGTAGCGGTAGTAGCTGTAGCAGTATTAGCTGTAGCAGTAGTAGAAGTAGAAGCAGAAGAAGTAGTAATAGGAGTAGTAGTAGCAGTAGGAGTAGTAGCAGCAGTAGGAGTAGTAAAAGAAGCAGTAGTAATAATAATAGAAGTAGCAGTATAAGTAGTAATAGAAGTAGTAGTATAAGTATCATAGAAGTAGTAATAGAAGCAGTAGTAGTACTAGTAGTAGTGGTAGTACAAGTAGTAGCAGTAATAGTAATAGCAATGGTAATAATAGCAATAGCAGTAGTAGTAGTAGTAACAACAATCATCATCATCATAACAATAATAATTACAATCATATTAACAATAATAACCATAACAATAAGAGCAAGGATGATGATGATGATAATGAATAAAATAATAGTAATAGTGATTGGTGGTGGTGGTGGTGATTGGTGGTGGTGGTGATTGGTGGTGGTGGTGGACGATGAGCAATGACTGACCATGACCAATGACTGACCATGAGTGATGATTGAAGAGGAGTGATGATTAACAATGACAGTGATTGACAATGACGATCATAATGATAACATTAACAAACAATAATATTAATAATAGTAACAATAATATTAATAACAGTAACAATAATATTAATAACAGTAACAATAACAATAATAAAAACAATAATAATAACTATAACGATAACAACAACAATAATAACAATGCTAGTATCACCCTTATTATTATCATGAGCTTACACGGTCACAAATGTTAATGATAATAAAGATGACACTGACTATGACAACACTATACCTTATACTAACGATAAAAAAGAGGACACTAACAAATATGATAAAATCATATGTAATAATGATATAAAAGATAACTGACCAAAATGGTAAAATACAATTAAAACTACAAAATTCATATTACAAAAACAATGTGAAGATAAAAATGATTATGACAATAACCATGATAATAAAGATAACAATGGTAATATATATAAAACAAAAATAAACATGATGACATTAATGATAAAAAAAATACTAATACTTGGAAAAAAAGAAGAACAAAATACGAATGTTGATGAAATACGAGATATTTCAAGTAATGAATATAACTACAAAAGAAAAAAAAAAAACAAGTTTCAGAATGAAACTGCTACCTTATCAAGGTAATAAATTATTCAAGATCTTTCATGATATAATTTATGCAAATATTGAAACATGAATTGGTGTATGTAATGATTTTAGTATTCACATGAAAAAGAAAATATGCACTTATTTACACACATTTCTATACTATAAATCCACTCCCTTACTCCATGCCTTCAAACAACTTAATATCAAGAAAGCTTTTAAATCATACAAATCTCACTTTTGCACTTACTGATGTTACACTGCACCACCTTTTGCAACAAAGCAATATATTCTCTAAAATTCACTGTTAATAACCCACTTTTTTATTACTTTCAACCACTTTTCCAATTTTTTTTCAGGAGATTGGGACCAATGGTTACCGTAATAGAACATAAAAGAACTAGTTTCTCTATCAACACTCAACACTTGTTTTGACAGCTGCCGAAGGGGATGGGGCATGGTGAGTATCAAAGAAATAGGCAGACAAAAAAGGATCGTCCAATTTTGAAAATAGGAGATATGATTTAAATTAAATAAATATTCATTAGTAACACATATCAACTTGCAGCCTCTGAAACAACAGAAGCAAATCACTCAGAAATACTATATACATTCTTTGTAGATGTAAGGCACATGATACAGTTTATGAGCTTTTGGTTATCCACAGGAGGAAAACAAATTCAATAGTTGTCCAGGCCACCCACAAAACATGTCTTTGTAAAGGTATTAGTTCTTTGTAAATTTAGGTTTTTAGCAATAGTATCCATAACCATCATTACTGGTATTGCTGAGGTATATCTATTCTCAACTTTTGTTCTTCATTCACTGACACTATGTGCTCTTATAATTGATTCCTCCAAACCTTTCCACTTCAGTGAGAGCATCACACACTAGGAGTCCACCCGCTCCAACTCAAGTCATAGCCACATTATCCACTTTGTATTTCCATTCGCACAGAATCAAGAGTGATACACTGAGACGATCCACCTTAAGGAAGGCAACCACAGAGTCAGGGACGATCCATCTGAAGGAGGACAACATTGAGCCTGGGATGGTCCACCTGCCTCCTCGGGAGAACATCCACCTGCCGCTGCTGAGCCATCCACCTGGCCGAATCCCTCCACACAGCTCCACCTTCACTTAGTGGAAGATCCACTGTGGTGGAGCGCGAGGTCTTACCCAGACACCGCCGCCTCCTCCTCCTCCTCCACCTGCCTGGCGTGTGAACATCCACCTGATCCTCGTCTCTCCAAGCGAAGCATCTCCTAAACAAAATGGGATTTTCAAGATGTCTAGCTCATTATTTCAATCAATATTTTACCCTCGCCCTTACCTCATAATGCAGATTTGGCGTGTAAAATCATCTTCAGTATCCCAGGGTGTCTCGGGTGTGGAAACAGAGGCGGCAGCGGGGGGCTTAGCGGCAAAATTAACGCCAAAAAGCGGAGTTCTCCTTCACATCGGCTCCGTCCCAGCAATGTCTGCCTGCGCGACGGGGATGCGCAGGCACTGACCCTC